AGATATTAAACTATAAAGTCATTTTCGGATGACTATGGGACTACTTGACGCCAATCGCAAGTGCTGCAGCAGTACTGCAGTTTAGTTAGGACTTTTATGCTTACGTACAGCAAGGAATATGGGACAACCAACTAAGGGACAACTAACTAATGGACAAACTAACTAAGGGACAGGTGGACACTACTGAGTGTTCGATAACATAGTACATGTTATAGAGTTACTAGTCATGAGTCTCTCGCAGTGCCACGGACCTCAAATTCTCTCTATATTTATACTTTGGAAATTTTCCTTATAAGGGAAATCTCCGTTTTGGGAGTAAAATTGCGATCTAAAAAGGAAAAAATCAAAATTCCTGGGCCTGGAATTTGTCTTTTTATTTTTGACCCCCCTGTTCAAATTTCACCCAAAATCAAAATATCAATTTATGATATAATTAGGGTATAATAAAGGTAGTAGTGACTTGAAAAGTGTCTTAAAGTAAGGAATATCGAGTATGGACTCATAATATGGCAATAAATCAACAACTATTTAATGATATTATCTCGCTAGATTTAGTTGGTATTAGGTTAAGTTAAGTTGGTATTGGGTTAGTATAGATAGATAGGTAGGCCACAAATCAACGTAATAAACAACACAACTTAACCCAATCTAAACTCAACCCAACCCAATCTTAAATTAATACTAACCCACTAAGCAGGCTGATCTAGGCCGCAATAGGGTGTTTGGATGCAATTTGTCCCAATACTAACCCAATACAATATATATTGTAGACACAAGACCTCTGTGTCCTATCAATGTCTTGTTCACGAATGAAAGGTTTGATAAAGTGCTGCTGGATTAGTGCCTGGCTGGTCGTTCTGATTAGTATTGATTTTGTGTGGGCTGAATCGCCGGCCTTGCCAGATAAGCAAGAGTTAGACCCACGCATTCGCTGCTTGGATGCCAGACCTGAGTGTTTCGACCCCGTTAGTATTGAGAAGCACAGACTATACCTAGAGAAGCCTGTGCCGAAGATTGTCCATCTGATCTGGTTTGGCAAGCGAGACCGACTGGACCGGCTGGGAACTTTGCCTAGATGGCTGGAGTACTGTCAAAAGTTCAAATGGAAGTACATGTTTTGGTCTGAGAGCAGCGAAGAGGCCTACAAACGGTTTGCCAAGCCGCGCAATGTTGCCCTAATTCGCCATCTTTTGAACCGGAGAATCTTCTGTGCAGCCTCTGATGTTTTGCGATACGAGATTCTCAAGGAGTATGGTGGGCTTTATGTGGATTGTGATATGCAGCCACCTACTTACTGTGGCGAGCTGGTTTCCCTCTTTGAATGCTTCCCCGATACAGGTCTTTCGGTCGTCACCGAGAATACTATGCGCAATACTGGAACAATAGGCCTCTTTGTCGCTAATCCGTTTATTTTCACGCCTAAACAAGACCCCCGCATCAAAGCGGCGGTTAACCAAATCTACCAAAACTATATGTCCTTTACTGCCGCCACACATACCAACAATCCTTCATACATCACCGGGCCATTCTTCTTTAACAGTGTCTTGTTTGGGCCGTTTAACACCTTTTCCGCTCGTTATTGCCACTACTGGAATATTTGGGCCCGAATCCCTCAGCCGTTGAAACAAACAGCTAACCCGGCCACTAAATCAGCTAGTGCACTGCTATTAGCCCAGATCTGCACTGATTAGTCCTCTTTTATCCTTTTTCAGCCTAATACTAAGCCAAATTCAGTTTAATGCTTAGATGGTCTAGAGCCAGGTCGAGGTAGTATTGAGTTAGTATTATCTGGGTGGTTTTGTGTATAGTAACATGCTGAGAGGTTGGTTTAGACTAGGGTTGATATTTGTTTTGTTAAGCTGGAGTGGACTAAATGCGAGTCTTGTGCCAAAGGATAAGGAGTGTCGGAATATGGCATTTCGGCTTACTCCCATTAACCCAATCATGAATCCCGAGGATCGAAAATACTTCAAACGAGCAATCCCGAGAATTATCCATGAGATCAGATTGGGCGAGGACATCGATGAAAATAGAGATCTAAGTGGGAATTGGGGCGCATACTGTGCGGAAATGGGGTTTGAACACCATGTCTGGACCGAGCATACTCCCAACGTGGACAGTGTGTTTGCTGAAAATAATGCGGCACTATTCCATCAATTGTGCGAAGAGAAGTGCTATGGCAGTGCCGAGGACGTCTTGAAGTATGAATTGCTTCGGCATTTTGGAGGTATTTTCGTGGATGAAAGCATTAGTCCGCCTGAAACTGCGGGGGTGTATGTTGATTTTGGCATGATTGTTCCTCTTAGAGGATTGCAAGTTCTGGTGAGTAAAGAAGCGATCGATGTTGGCAATAGTGCACTGTATGCGGATACCAGACTAATTGGTGCTTGCAAGAACCACCCAGTTCTAAAAAGCATTTCCAAGCAGATAGTTGGCAATGCCCATCGGTATCGCAGAAAGACCGAGTCTCATGTACGAAAATATGCTACCGGCGAAAGGTTGTTTTCCATGGCGTTGACCGGAATTGTTGGAGTTCTTCAACCGGCATACATTGAGCAGTATGGCATGTATACAGGTGAATAAGCCGACAAATAAATACTAACAGGCCTTTAGTCTTCGTATATCTAGGCTGTAGTTAATAGCAGCACGATTTGCTGCGCGGTTTTGCGAAAGCCACAATCCTGGGAAGAGTTGTGAAAGGCCAATACTACCCAAATAGTAAGATTGCACCCAACACAACCAAACCCAACACAACCAAACCCAACACAACTCAACCCAACTCAACCCAACACTAACTCAATGCCTAATAAGCTGTAGATGGTATAGAAGCAGCCATTGCATGAAAGAACATGCTCAACCAAGCAAAAAGATATCTTCGACGCAATTGAGTCGTGTTAGTATTGGGTTGGCCTATCAACGCCCATGTTTTTCATTTGCTAGACTAGGCTGCCGCGAAGCTTCCATGGCAAAATTACAACGGAGTAGGAACGTTCGAATAGAAAGGGACCACGTATATTCTCATGTAACAGTTGCGGGCCGGTTCTATTCAACAAATAAGACTTATTTGTATCATGCAATCAAAAGACTTTATTGCCCAATCCATTGTCTATGGGGTTAGTATTCGGACAATTGGTATTCCAAAAGTAACAAATAATATTGAATTATCAAAAATTCAGATTCAAATTTTGTTCTTAACCCAATCTTCGACTTTCATACTCCATAGTAATCAGTGATTCACTTGTGCACATGATTTTGATGGCTTCTAGCACTATAAATACTTCTTTTATGACTTAAAATTGTAACTAAGATGCGGAATACTAAGTTGTTATTTAGATTTATGCTTGCATGTGTGGGATTATTTAGTCTGACTCGAGGCACGGCTGAAGAAGCAAGTGAAGAGTCGCCTAACTCTACTCAAGGCGAGCCTGATTTTACTCAAATCGATTCGATGACGATGAAGTTGGCAGATACGACGAGCATAGAAGACTCCTACCATCTTCACGTTGTTACTGATTCTATAATTCTCGAGGGAAATGCCGTTAACCGAACCTTCATTTTGATGCAGGTTGCGAAAGGGCGTGAGTTTGAATGTAAAGTCAGACAAACCCTCGATGAGCTATTTGACAAGGCGAAAATGAACCCGGCATATGATGGATCTACTCCTCTTTCTATTATAATCGAATGGCGCGATGAGATAAACTCGAAGCTGGATTTGAGCTTCTGGAATTCAAGGCTTAGTGAGGCGCGGGTTCGGGCCAAGCACAGTCTTGCGGTTTTAGTGGACTGCCCATTACACTATAATAACCACACGGGCTATGAGCCGCTGCTGGATTGTGTGTTCCTGGGAGATACGAATTACTTTATACGCCTCTATTGGCTGGTGAAGACTCCTGCACCCAAGGACTTTGATATAAACGTCGGGGCGATTTCTGCTATAGTCTATGATGTGTCATTCACCATAGTTACTGTCGTGGTTGATAGCAGCAAAATTAAACGCATCGCTTTCAATACGGCAAACTATTCGAGTAGCAGTATAATGGATCTGAGCCTGCTGTATGTCTACTGGCCTAATGTAGAGATAATGGAAAACCCCAACCTAAATAGAAATCTTAAAATTGCGCAACTAATAATAGACTATAAAGGGTGGGATGGTATGGCTAAAAGCCTATTAAACTTTTCTGGGGCCTGCGTACCATTCATTGAGCTTATGTTGACCGTCGAGACGAAAGATTTCAGATTTACAGTGCTTATCAAAAAGACCTCTGTTGATGACATAAATTACATTGATTCCTTTGATGTGGCGTGGAAAGGTTTAACTCAGGAACAAGACATAGATGATAAAGCTATTTTTGAAGTACTCAAAGAGATCCGACAGAAACTAAACGTGGGTGATAATAACAATGTGAAGTCAAAGGTGTTGGTTTGCTGTGGTGACGACCCCGAGGACTTCGATCGTAATAGCAAAAATGACAAAACTGACGAATTCATGACTTATCTGAACAGTGTTGATTCGAGTGGGAATGCTGGGGAGGACAGTAGTGCCATGAGTGGTGGTCATTCTTAAGCAGCTATCTTCTATCATGAGAAGTTAGTATCTGGTGGGTATTGTGAGAAGAAAAGACTCGTTCGGCCAGAAACACTCAACTAAAAACAAGCTAGCTGGTGTTGTGACTGCGTTCTAATTGACTAGCGTTTATTGGGTTAGTATTAGTGCTTGAAATTAAAGAACTACTTTAGGTCTACATTATTATCTCTTGTTTTATATTGCAACTGTATTGGGTTGGGTTAGTATTATGATGGTAGGTTTATTATCGTGTTAGTGCTAAGAGGTTGGTGTTGGGTTGGTGGTACTTCTACCAAGACATAATCAGACTGGATGCTTTTTAGATTTATTGAAGTATGCGATAGCATAGAGTTTGAATGGAATCTTTTGGGGCCTGTATATGCCCTTATTAGGCTATGATACAAGATGCGATATTCGTCCCTTCCAAGAATAACCTAATAATTAGGCATAAATGAATTACCGGTCGAAATAGGTAACATTAAGACGTAATTTGTCCCTGGTTTAAGTATTTAAGAAGTGTGCTTGCCCATTATACATGATGTTAAGAAGTGCCAAGTTAGTATTTGGATTAGTATTTGTCTGCCTTGGATTAGTTGATCTGGTCCGGGGTACTGTTAAAGGTGTGAGTGGAGACAAGCCTGCGTTTACCCAGATCGAGAAAGTTGGTGATGTTGAGAAGATTTATGGCAACGATGCATACTCTATGCGTGTTGTTACTGGTAAGTTGGAAGCGAATGAAGATGAGACAAGAGATTTACCTTCTGATTGTCCTTACCTTTGGCTGCAGGTCAAGAAAAGTGCTACAGTTGATGAGTTAAACTTAAGGGAGATTCTTGATCGAATTAATTTAGTCATTGCTATGCTGCCAGAGGATCCTTTGATCCTTGGTTCTCTCGTAATCGAGTGGTGCGATGAGTTCAATAGGGAAGAGTCTTTAGACACCTGGAACTCAAGACTTGTTGAGGCACGGGTTCAAAGCAGACACTCCTTCATGCTTTTAGTGGACTGCCCATTACAGCACAGTTCAGAAGACATTGTGCCACGTGAATCAGATGAGGTGACTAACGCCAAACTATTCCTTGAAGACCTGCTATTTGATATCAACGAACGTTTCCCTAATTTATACTGTCTAGTGAGAAACAAAGCAAACGTCAAGATACCAAACCTTGGATCGCTTTTGTACGTTTTGCCCCACGGCTTCTTCTCGCAAGTTGACATCGCAGTTTCTAACCAGAAGCTCGACAACTTTGACTTTGACATGTTTGAGTTAGGATACGAGGGCCGCCTCTTTTCTCTAAACCGCCTGGCTATCCACATGCCCCATGCTCAAACCAATTTCCTTTCCGTAATACCCAATTTCCGTTGTGGAACATTTGAGATATCAATTTACAATTGGGAAGGAACACTTGATGTAATCTGCAATCGAGAAAGGTCGCCTATGCTTGAGTTCAACGAGGTCAAGGTAAACATCCACGAAAAAGGTGTTGACATGGCAGTAACTGCTGAGACAGATCTGAACAAATCCAGTGATTGGATTGAGACAATCAATGTGGTCGGAACAAACATTGATGATGGATCTGCCGCGCTGTCCCAAGATACTATTTTCCCTATGCTCAATGATATGATCACGAACATGGGAATGGCTAGCACCAAAGGCCGCATTCCAGTTGTGCGAATCAATGGTGAAATCAAAACCGATGAGTTCAACAATTACGAGTAAGTGTTGTAAAAAGCCAAGGAATACAAGAGTCTGCCAAAGGCCATACTGGCCAGTAATGCTCTTGGACCTGATGAAACAGAATAAGACAAGTCTTTACCAGTATTGATTTAGCTAGCATTCAGTGCTAGCCCAATCCTCACAATGTATCCATACCCAGACTGATGGCCTCCATGCCATTATACTCCAACCAATACTAAGTAATAAATGATTTGTTTGCACCAACCTGTCACATCTATATCTTCTATCTATATTGATTTGGGTTGGGTTAGTATTGGGTTGGGTTGGTATTATGATAGCAGTAGTGCTATCGTGGGATGATCCGATGCTAACCGGATACTAACCCCATACCAACTCAATACAACCCAGCAAGCTTTATGGTTTTGTCTAAATCTGCGTTATGGATTTGGTTTATAGAAACAAAGACACTATCTTGGGTTAGTGCGGTACTCAGAGTATCCACCCCCATTCTATTGTGTTGGTATCAAGTTGGTATAAGTTGGTATAAGTTGGTACAAGTTGGTACAAGTTAGTATTAACCGTGAAATAAAATTATGATGCAATGGCAGCGGATTTCGAATTTGCTGGGTTTGGTTTTGAGTTTTAAATTATGCTATTATGTTATTATCGGGTTAGTAGCTGTTTAATTCAATCTTACTCCAACAAAAGATAAGATTATTGGGTTAGTATTGAGTTAGTATTGAGTTAAGATTGGGGTGGAATGGGGTTAAGTTGGGGTGGAATGGATTAGGATTGGGTTGGTGGTGTCAAATTAGTTGTGTATTAAACAAGGCAAAACCATTTTGAGATATCTTAATGATCTCTCAGCTTAGTTTAAAGTCTTTTTGGGTTAGTAGATCTGAAATGAGATATCGGGAAGGTAGCAAATGGATAGCTACAGTGGTTTTAGTATATCTAGGCTGGTTTGGACTGGTTAAAGGAGAAGATAATTACGTGCAAATCGATAAGATCGACTACTATGGGATTGTTGTTAATAACGAAAAGCTTTATTCAATTCGGACGGCCATTTCCTTATTGACGCTTGGAAAGGCGATAAAAAAAGGAGGAGTTAGATGGATGTTTTTGATTTGGGTGCAAATTAAGAGGGGCTGTGTTGATAAGGATGAGGAAAGAGAGATGATTAACCACATTGCCGGTTATTTCGGCTGCGACAACCCTGACTTTCATTTGAACGGGCTAGTGGTCGAGTGGTGCGACTTTGTAGCCTCTTTCAGGCTGAGAATATCACATTGCAACGAGCTCTTTAAAAAGGCTCGAGTGAGTGGTCATGGCTCCTTCTTACTTCTATTGAATCCGCCATTAGCGCCAACACCCCATAATGACAAAGAAGACTTGAATAATCTTCAGCTGATAACTAAAGAAGTATTAAAAGAGGAGAAAACAAGGTTTCTAGAAACATACTGGCTGATCGAAGAGACTAAATTGTACCAGGGAGTTCAAGTAGACCTTAAATACCTGTTCGAAACAATCGATATATATACACAAACAGTAACCCTTGTGGTCCTGGATATGAATATTGAGAAGATTAAATTGACACAGACCGAGCAATTCCTAAAGAAGCCCCTTGTTGCTTATTGTTTGCAACGACTAGTACTGTACACGCCACATGCTAAGATTGGGGATGTTGATTGGATCGGGCCTATTTTTATCACGACTCTCGAGGTTCATGCCCAGGACTGGCAAGAGTCTTTGCAACAAATCTTTAAAACACCAGTACTAGTCCAGGGATTAGAAAGGTTGCAATTGAGTATTTGGGAGGAGAGACTCAACGACCTGTGTGATCATGTGTTATTAGTCAATGTGGACATATCATGCCAGCTGATTCAAAAAATCGAGGTCAATATTACAGGTGAGGGCAGTGCTGCTGCCAAAATAGAAGATAGCAATGCTATTTCCTCGATACTAACACATTTAATGCTGATTATTGGGTTGAGCCGGGCAGGCGATGGGAAGTGCCAGCTACAAATCAATCAGAAGGAGCAACCACTCGTGTGGCAAGAAGCACTCAAAGAAAGCCACAAGAACTACAGTACTGCTTGGGTTGCAAGTAGATTATACTTCTTAAGACAGTGTAATTACATAATGCACACTCAGCTATTCCATGGCAATCGAATAGATCTGCTTGGTCCATGCCCTGATATGCCTAGCGAACCTAGGGTGTTATTTGATGCATATTTTCGACCATTAGCGTTCCGCTACCAAGAGCTCCAAGAGATTAGTTCGTGGATTTGTCCACAGTTTCTTTCTGTCTACATCCTCGAGATTAGACATCATCAGCTATCAACTATACATCGACTCGATTCGTTGTTCTTCAAACTTAGCGAACCCGATGCTGATTCTTCCATACCGCACGGGCCGGAATTAGTAGAGATATTATGCATGGGTGTGTATATAAGCCAAGTTTCTCTCGCTCTTCTTTCTTATGCCGGTCAAGTTGACGCATGTCTTTTACATGAGCCGAGCTGGGACACTAATATGCACCAGTACTACACAAAACTTATTGATATTGCCGCCAAAGCAAGGGTGCAGACAAGACAAGCGCCTCTGACCGGTGAGTTGTGTAAAAAACCGAGCGAGGAAGTGGCCAAGGGATACAATGAAAGCTCGGATTAGTATTGTTTAAGAGTGGTTAGCATCATTTAAGAGCGATTGTTATGGGTAATCTCAAGCTTAATTCAATAGCACACCAACCAACTAATGCAACAGAGGCAATAAGGCGCCATGTTTAAGGCAATAAAATCAAACCCGCTCAACACTATTCCATTAAAGACATTCTTTGATATGAGCACCGATACTTTTTATTAGATAAATGTGGTTGTGAGTGAGATGGGATGATGTTATTAGATAGGCAAAATTGCTTTGATTAAAGCATCCTGTACTAAGTAGCGATCAGGTTGATTGTTGTGAAAAATGAGTAGTGGTCGTATGACAGCACTACAGTTAGTATTACTGGCTGAAAGGCCACTTTTCAGCACGGGCATGGCTCGGTAATGCACAATTGCCAAAAAAGGAAATATAGAACTGGGTTGTTGTAATTTATATGGTCTTTTCTATCTAGATTAAAGTCTAAATTAGATAAAAAATAAAGATAAGATGAGATGCATTAATGTGGCTTTTGTTTTGGTCCTCGTGTGGACTGAATTAGTTGGCTTGGCCGCTGGAAAAAGGGTCTGTCCTCGAATAGCAATGATTATCGGACAGTGCAATCTTTTTGAAGACCGAGAAGAGCATGTTTCAATAAGAATAACCAGTGCCAATCTGCGCTATGTAGGAGCCAACCACACAAAAACACAGGCTTCTTCTTTGATATGGGTGCAGTTTAAGAAAAGCACTACCGCGATGGATGTGATAAAGGGCGCTATAAATAGACTTAATGAAGCCTTGGCTGAAAAAGACTCTAAGAATGGAATCGTAGGACTAGTGGTTGAATGGTGCGATTCAGTGAGCCATACCAAAGCAACTAATAAGGAATGGAACCAACTGTTTAGCAATACCTGCATGCGCGCGAAGAAATCATTCTTGGTGCTAGTAAATTCGCTAGTAGAAGGACAAAAGAAGGAGAGTATCAGCGAAGTAACCACCAAAAAGATCCTCCGGCACAACCGGAAAAGATTCCTGGAAACATACTGGATGGTAAGGGGCAACAGCGAAGAGCAGACACAGAAAAGAGAACTTAGCTACTGGGCAAAAACAACTCATCGCCAAACCCAAGTTCTAGGCATAATTATCCTGGACAATACGATTGAAACGATTGACTTGCACCTGTCGAAGTGGTCGTGTTTAAAGATTTCGGCAGCTCATTCACTATCGCTTCTTCTACTGCATATGCCTTTTACCCAAATAGAATCCATTCACACAGACAAGCTTGGCTTCATTTCTGTTCTTGATATTTGTGTGGCCGACTGGTATGAGTCGTTGCAGAAGGTTTTTGTTAGGCCAGAACTGACTCTTGGGCTGGAGTTACTTCGAGTAGAGAGCAAAGAGACAGATTCAAGTAATTGGAGTGGTATAGAGTTGATTGTTGAGGTTAGGATCTCGTGTCTGCACATTCAAAAAATCACTGGGATTAAGGTTGGAGGACTAGGTGGATGGGCCTTACCGGCGTCGTTGATTTCTATATTCTTCGCTATTATAAGCCAACTAGTTCAGATCATTGGGCTGGATTGGGGTCAAAGCGGCTATTTAGTGAAGATAGGTTTGATGGACTACACAATGGACTTCGCTGGATTTATGCAGAGCAAGTTGAGTGCTGATATTAAAGACATATACTTGCAGTATAGCCAAGAATGGACTATCAATCGCCTAAATGCGCTGAAAAACTATGGGCGCGATGTTGGGCTAGGCATACACCGTATTGTTTCTCACGAGCTGGGTGCGGGTAGGGCGCTTGCCGAGCTTGCTAGTGTGATGGCACTTGACCGGAAGTATTTTGGGCAGCTCCAGGGGTACACGCCAACTAATCTGTCTTTTGATATTTCACCCCTCACGATTTATATGATGTGCACAATTAAACTAATGAAGATTATGTCCAGTATAGCCAGCCAAAATGCGTTTAGCCCAAACCAAGCGCCGTTGGCAGCTTTTCGGCTGATGAATAAGCTTGTGTATGTAAGTTATCTAATCCGAGCCCTTCTTTCTCACTCCCCCAAATCTAACACGGTTAGTATGGAAGAGTCGGGCTGGGATATGGACACGCAGGATTGTCGCCAAACACTTACCAAAATGACAAACTACTTATTTGGGTTAGTGTTGGGTTAGTATTAAATTGCGCTGAATTAGTTGGTTTATTAGTGGATCGAGCTCGCGTAGATCAACGTACTGTTTAGTGCAGCACGTGGTAATGGTATTATACTGATTAAATTTGTCTAAAAATGAATGTTTTTTGTTTTGAAATTAGAGATAAGATGTTATGTGTAGTCGCGTGGATGTTTTTAGTGCAAATCTGTGTTACTGGGTTATTTGGGATGACCAAGGCCGCCGAAGGAGAAGTATTGGGTGCCAGAAAAGCTTATGCGCGAATTGAAGAGCTTAGTGAGTGGGACCAAGTTATCAACCATTCGAATTGCTTAACAATCAAAACAGCCAGTGCTAAGATGCAAAGTGCAAGCATACTGAACAAGAGCGAGACCAAGAACTATCGTTTGATTTATCTGCAACTTGTGGAAAAGCGGCCCCCTGCTACATTAGAAAACGATATTAAGAAGACCATTGATATGTATTTTTCAGATTCAAAATTATCGTGTTCTGTTGGATTGATAGTTGAATGGCGCGATAATCTGAACGAGAAGAATATGACCCTCGAAGAAAGCAACGAGTTGTTTCAAAAGGCCCATCTATTTGCTAATAATTCTTTCCTATTGGGTATCAATCCCGCCGTGACCGGCATGAAAAATGATAACCTGCAAGACGCCAAACATTTTGCCCATAATCAACTCGGCACATCTTACCAGAAGTTTCAAGAGATATACTGGTTGATAGAGAAAGTCAACAGCGAAGTTAAAAAAGCTAACTTCAACCATCTCTCTGAGCTGATTCATTCCCAAACCCTAATTCTTGCTATAGTAGTGTTGAATCAAAGTATATTCGAAATTGATTTATGCAGTATCAATCCCAAGATCATCCAGGGCAAAGCTCTGCAATTAGATAAGCTGGTGATATACACGCCGCATGCGACAGTAGATCCTTTCTTAATGAAACGCGCTAAGATTAAAACTCTTGTGATTCATTCAAACATGTGGACAGAGTCACTGCGTAGCATCTTTAAAACACACAACTTCTGCCTAGGAAAGAGCCAGATGCAAATTGGGTTTAAAGAGCCGAGTAACAACAAGGTCATGGTGGTAATGGATGTTACCATCAAGAATTGGAAGATCAAGGCTTTCAGCATAAATGTGGAGCCAACTGAACCTCAAGACTCAATTGAATTGCCGTCGGCGGATAGCTACTGGACGTCAATAGCCCTGCCGGCCATAATGCATCTCAACACAATTCTAGGGCTGGATTGGGCTACAATGCGCAATGGACAGATTTATGCCCATTATAACCATGGCAAGCAGCAGATGGAGTTACAGGAGTTTTTGAATTCCCCTGAGGTTAAACTGCTCAAAAAAGAAGAGTTGATGTTTGAAGCCGGACAAAATGTTAGTAAACATTTGAATGACGCGATTAAGAAGAGATCCGATCTACCAGCGGCGATAAAATGCTTTCAGTCGAATTTTGGGTCTTTCAAGAACCAAAGAAATTCAATGCCTCACAGCACACCACTTTTTGCTAGTAACTTGAAAGCCTATCAAAAAGCTCTTATCGACCTAAGCAAGCATTTTGATTTTGATCCATCGGTTCGACCGGCAATACTAACCCAATATGAAGTAGAGCATTTTCACCTGTTAGAAAGGGCACTTGTATGCGCTCAAGAGGAAACCGACGACATGGTCAGACTCCTTGAGTCCCTATATCCAAGCAACACAGCTATCGATTGTGCCCCAGGGGAGGATAACGACCTCTCATCCAAACATACTCAACAAGAGACAAATCCTCATTCAGGTTAGTATTGAGTTGGTATTGAGTTAGTATTGAGTTGGTATTGAGTTAGTATGCGAGTCTGAGCCATTTCTAGTTCTGATATAGTTCTGTGCGAATTCTGTACTTACTCGTCTAAAAGTAGAGATATCTCGAGAGCCTCCTAAAGATGTGCGGGGATGGCACGGACACCACACTACACTAACTTAATATGACGTCATCTTATTCCAACTCAACCGCATTTACTTAATAAATGACACTACTTATCTCAAAGAATATCTTTAATAGAGTATGTATTAATTAAGTTTGGGTTGGTATTAGTTAAGTGTGTGTTGGTGTTGGGTTGGTATTGGGTACTATAGCTAGCTTTATGCCAAAGCACTATTTAGCCATAAAAACAAGAACTTTTAGAAGCATTCAGGAAGCAAACTGACATCAATAAAATCTACTCGACTACCAATCCAATCCAACCCAAACCAAATCTAATATATTTCATACATCACACTAACCAGATCAATTTGATAGATAGGGCTTATTGAGATTTTTCTGAGATAGTAAATTTTCATGATAGACAATTGTTCGATATACTTGTGGAAGCGGCGCTATGGTCTTTTTGTTTGTTTTTGTTGTGTTCTAGGGGCCCTTAGTCTTGGGATTGTGTATTTGTCTGATAAACTAGCCGATAATTACTCAAAGACGATAGAAACATCTGGTTTTGACGAGAATCAGCCAAACACCGTTAACCTGAAAGTAGATGTGATCTCCGAAGCAGGGCACAGTAAAGCAGCACGGCCCAAGCCCGCACCAAAAACTCAAACTATTGCAACACAAACAGGTACATCTCAAATTGGTACATCTCAAACTAGTACATCTCAAACTATTACATCTCAAACAGGTACATCTCAAACAGGTACATCTCAAACAGGTACATCTCAAACCGCAGAATCACAAACTAGTGCAACACAAACCACAGAATCACAAGCTATTGCAACACAATCTAATCCAACACAAACCACAGAATCTCAAACTGGCACATCTCAAACCACCGAATCACAAACTATTGCAACACAAACTGGCACATCTCAAACCGCAGAATCACAAGCTATTGCAACACAATCTAATGCAACACAAACCACAGAATCTCAAACTGGCACATCTCAAACCACCGAATCTCAAACTACTGCAACACAAGCTATTGCAACACAAACCACAGAATCACAAACTATTGAAACCCAAACAGGTACATCTCAAACCACAGAATCACAAGCTATTGCAACACAAACCACAGAATCACAAACTATTGAAACCCAAACAGGTACATCTCAAACCACAGAATCACAAGCTATTGCAACACAATCTAATGCAACACAAACACAAACCCATGACAATACTATGCCTGACCCAGACTTAATCACTAGGTTGCAAGAGATGGCCGTGATCGCCGAGCCATCGGAGCACTCCTGGGAAAGTTCTTCCAAGACAGGCCAAGTAAAATGGGTGTTAACACTGAACGCGGCATCGATCATTAAAATGGGCCACGATGATTCAAAATCCGACCACCTCGTTCAGATACTGCAAAACAAGAACAAGAACGACTGCCGGCAATGTCTTGAGAGTCTAAAGAAGTTACAAAAGATTAAGAGTTCCATTCCAATGCACATCATGGGGAGTGATGTGGAGTACAACAAGGAAACAATTGAATTAGTGTTGCTCCTGCTAAGGGTTATGGACGTACCGCACCTTAAATTTGAATGGACTACCCGAGCTCGGAAAGACACCCCCATTAGTTTGAATACTGTTAAGTCTTTGATAAGTAAGTGTCCGCACGCTCTGAAACAACGACCGAATAGTTTTATTATCAACGGCAGCCAGCGTAAACTCTGGAATTCTTTTCTTGGGTTAATCAAAACAACCTATAATCTGCAAAAGAGTTAGATTCGGGTTAGTATTGGGCGAGGGTGTGGTTGGGCGAGGGTGTGGGTGTGGTAAAACACACTTTTTCGTGCACTAATGGTTAGTTAAGGTCAAATTAAAGCTATTAGGTTGATGTTTGGTGTTGGAATTACTTATCTTGGTCGAGCCACAAAGCTTCTATCAACTTTCTTTTCGCTTCCTTGTACGTCTTATCTTATTCTTCAGTCCATCTGAACACTGCTCCTTTGTTCGTCTGTTCATATAAAGGCCTCAATGTCATTGAGATATCTTTCCTGAATCCTATAGAATCCATCCTTGATATCCAGTTTACTGAATATCTTCTTTCCTCTGATATGATCTGTCAAATACTGTATGTCTGGAATCGGATAGTTATCCTGTTCCGTCATGCCATTCAGTTTCCTTAAGTCAGCACACAATCTCCATTTACCTGATGGTTTCATCTGCAATGATAAAGGACTTAACCATTCCGATGGCTTAGTCTTCTCTAAGAATCCTTGTGCTTCCAATGAATTTATCAACCTCCTGCGCATTCTTCTGGCCATTTCCCATACGATCCTTCTTAGATCAGCAGTCTTTACTTAAGTGTCCTACTTTGTTGCACGTGTAACATCTAACTGTCTTCTTTGATGTTCTCATAGGTTGTCTTTCCTTCTTACTTTCTTTATCCCACTCATCCACCTGACTAGCAATGTCCATTAATTCTCGAATATTTCCTTCCTTCACATCGTTTACCAATCCAATGAATTTCGGATGTCCATTCAAGTATTGTATGAGTTCTTTCCACGTGTGTTGTCCTAATTGCACTCGTATGCACATTTTCGCAACCCAATCCCACGCCGTTCCCGAGTTCCACGGGATTATCCTATTCCGTATAATCTTCACCTTCTTATGTCTTTCGAACACCTCCAGAAGTCTTCTTCGGACTTCTTCCCAATTTGATTGCATCTCCACAGTCTCCGCTCTCACGCTAGCCTCCAATGTTTCTAACTCCTTTAGAAATTCCTTATTCTCTGGTCTCTGTCCTTGATACATTCCCATATAAATGTATTGCAGCCTGTCAGGAACCGTAATCCGACTCCATACCTCGGAGTACGTCTTGATTACTTTTTCAGCAAATCTGAATTGTCCCGACTCCTCTTTCACGGTAATTCTCTCGAAAGCAGGTACTACTATCTCGCGAATATCCTTCCTTTGACTGTCATCAAGTTCACAGCCATCAATCCCACGAAAACCTGGACTATCTTCCCCATTATTTCCTACTTGTATTGGTCGAACCATGAAATTACAATATATTTGTTGATTTCATCTTTATTTATACTTTATAATCTCCTGATAATACCATCAAAGACAAATAAGATCTTGTTTAGTATGGCCAACTATCTTCATCCTTTGGTACGAACTGATTTGTGACATTTATGTCATATTAACAACTCCCATCACATTCCTGGTGAACCAGCTTGATCTTTACAAGGAGGCCAAACTTGAGGAGGCAAGGCGTCAAAAGTATCGCCGCTCGTCTCAGGAAAGCCTGCAGTCACTGAAACCAGAAGCAGACGAGGCATCACGCGAGGATATAGTCCAAGAGATTCTCCAAAAGACTCGTATCACAATAGGAGATGATGGAGTGCAGCAAACTAATCTTGCAAGCATCAATAGAACAGTTCGGCTGGTGTCGTACGAGAATCTCTCACCCGAAGCTTTCGAATACTTCTTACTAAAAAGCGAGCTGGTTGCGGGCTGTACTGGCGGCATGCCTCTTACGCAGGTGCTGTCATCCAAGCGAATTCCTGTGTACGAGTGTCTTTTGCATAAACGGGAACTCTGCAGCAATGTTCTGAACGCCCTATGGATAGAAGCCATGGAGGAGATTGATATTCCCGTGGAGAAGGACTCACAGGTCTTCCCTGGGTTAGAGGAGGACAACATGAATTCCTGCTTATTGGGAATGAAAGTACTGACTGCCGAGAATGTAAGGCAGATCTATCCTACCTTCCGTGCAAAGTTGCTACAGAACGCCTTCTCGCCACGGTTCAAAAAGAGGTTGAAGGAGATACTGAATTGAGTTAGCATTCAGTTAATATTCAGTTAGATTTGGATTAAAAACTAAACCCAATACTAACCCAATTCAAGGTGAGTAATTTTGAAAAGAGAAGGGTTATGTTTTAGTTTTAGAATGTGATATTGAATTGGTTTTAGATTGGGTTAGATTGGGTTAAGTCAAGATATGGTGTGGTGTGGTGAGTTAAATGAAGATGGAAAGACAAAGGAATGATGAGGTGGGTAAAATGAAGAGATCTTTTTGTTGTATTACTATCAAGTAACTTATTGTTAAATTGGCCTGAATTGGGTTGGTGTTGGGTTAGTATTGGGTTGGACAAAGCATTGCTAGATGGTTGGGCTATGATGTTTATTTAAGTTAGATAGCATTAAATGATATGAATTGAATAGAAGGGGGCGATAATGGCTGACATAGAGCCATCGCGGTCTAAACCAGCCATGTCTTTATGAGATACGCAGAAGTAGATGTATTCGTCTGGAAATTCCATGTTTTTGAGCCAGTTGTGAGCAGTTGCCGTGTTTTCAGTGTGATCATTGACAAGGATAATTTGAGCTGGAGATAAGGGTACAATTTCCTCAGATGGAAGCGAGTTTAGACAGACTGAGCATTTGTAGTTGAGCTTCTGATCTGCACACAGATCGCATAAAAAGTGTTCACAGGGGAAATAGCAGAGTGTAGTGAATTTGTATAGGCTAGTTGCTGTTTGGGTGGGTTGTTTGCCATCTGAGTTGTTGCCTTTGGCTTGAGTTTGAGTTTGAGGGGTATAGAGGGTTTTTTGGCAGTATAAACAGCTAAGTTTATCAAGTTGTGTATCTTTGTTCTTGTACTCACAGTTAACTTGTTTGGGTGTGTCATTCGTGTTGAGTTGTTTGAGTTTGGTAAGGGTGTCGTTGGGTGCGTTAATGTGTTTGACAAGCAGATCCAGCAATGGCAATGGCACTTTAATGGTTTTAGGGGGAACAAGCGAGACACTCAAGAGCAGACGAGTGTGATATGGCTTGAGTACTAGCTGAATATGGCTGGCTTTAGTATTGGGTTGAGTGTTGCTTATTTGGATGGTTTTAAGTGATGGCTGAGTACGAATCCAGTAGTTGCGCTTGATTATGGTCTTTTGCTCTTCTTCTGACAACTCAGCCTTTATTAAGTGCAGGGCTAGTATGTCTTTAAATCGGTATCCCACCCAACGGATAATAGTCGCCAAATCGGCTTCAGTTAAGAGTTGGGTCTTGGCGAAACACAAGAATAACCTTTCCACAGATTCCTTGTTGGTGCCGGTTGTGTCCAGTGAGTTAGTTAGGTTGGGTTGAGTTGAGTTAGTTCAATGAGTAATGGGTTAGTGTCAACTTGATTGTATGCTGGATTGGTATGGATTTATGGGGGTGGATTATTGGGTTAGTGATGGTTGCTTTTGAAATTTAATAAAATGCAAAGATAAGAAAAAGGAATGTTCGAAATGAGTTTGAAGTTAGTATTAGCGTGGCTTTGTTGTGTTATGGTGTGGTTTGGTGTGGTATTGGGTAGTAGTATAGATAGCAGTGCTAGCTTAGATGGAATGGAGTTATCACCGGGTGTCAAATTATGGTCTCGTTTAGCTCAAACATCCTTAGAAGATAATTCACGCGTAGAAATGGATAATTTGCATTTATATGGCCTAGTTGGCTTCAATAGCGAAATCCCAGAACACCAAATACCCATTATGAGGAAAGCAATAACTGCTTGTTTGGACTTGTTGGGTATAATGGTTCAGCCTTTGATAGGAGACCAATTGATAGAATCTCGTAATCCAGATGGCTCCATAGGCTGTATTCTTGAGATGAATTCAAAGAAGGATCAAATACAAATGATAGAAGACATGCAGATCGTGGAACTAGCAGACTATTTGTATAGTTTGAGAGGAATGCCGGGCGTATATGAAGTCGCCACCATGTATAACAGACAGGCAGTGAAAGTAGGAACTACCAGTTTTTGTATTCCCCCAGCTCCCAAACTAACTTTCAACCTAACTAGTACTGAGCCAAGTGAGGAATTGACAATCTACCAAAAGTATCTAGAAGTCTTAAAGCCCCTGAAAAAGATCACTAGTCCGGATCAGATGATGATTTTCGGACAATCAACGGAAAATGGGATGCTAGGCCAACTTGAGCTGCTATTCTTTCTACTGCGGATTACGATTAGTCCTACAATCATAATAGACTGGCTGGACAAGAGTATATCCCCGCTTGATGTGAAATTAATAGATAGGTTTAGGCCTTTACTGAAGGACATCCCCACGGAGCTGAAAAGGAGAAAGTTTGTTATTAATGTCGATACTTCATGTAATGGTGTGTTTTGGAACGCTTTCCGTGAGTTGATCATAGAACACTACGATACTAACCCACTACTAATCTTATCCACTAGTGTCGCCTAATGCCAACTCAACTTAATAAAAGTCTAGTTAGTATTATGATGGTTTGGTTTGGTATTGGGTTGAGTTAGTGAATATTGTCTTTGAAATTTAAGAGAATTTAGAGATAAGAAATAGGAGTTGGTATTGGTATTGGTGTTGGGTTATGTGTGCAATATTAAAGTGGGTTTAGGTTGGGTTGGGTTAGGATGGTTTGTGGGAGAGAAGAGTGAGATAGTCAGATTGGGTTGGGTTTGAGTTTGAAAAGATCAAAATGATCAAGGAACAGTGAGATAACAAATTAAAAGGATAGAAGAGATAGAAAAAATCGCATGTTCAGATTCTTAAAAGCAATACGAGTTAAGAGATCTTATCTTTGGGCTGGTGCTCTGTTAGTTAGTCTTGGGTTAGCATCTGCAGTGTATTGTTTGTGGCAGCTGAATATGAAAGTGACCTGTAGTGATGCAGAACAGCCAGAACAGCCAGAGTCTTCTCTCCCTAACCCAATAGGCCAGGCGAGTGGGCGCATGGAAGTAGACCGAGTAGATTCCGCAATTCAAGTAGAAGAGAACAATCCACCCACACCCACATCACCAACTACACCGCCACCTACACCAATAGCACCCGTACTGCCTACACCGCCACCTACTCCAATAGCACCCGTACTGCCTACACCACTAACTACACCACCTACTCCAATAGAACCCGTACTGCCAACACCACTAACTACACCACCTACTCCAATAGCACCCGTACTGCCAACNCACCATCACCTACACCATCACCTACACCAATAGCACCTGTACTGCCAACACCACTAACTACTCCAATAGCACCTGTACTGCCAACACCACTAACTACACCACCACCTACACCAATAGCACCTGTACTGCCAACACCACTAACTACACCAATAGCACCCACTCCAATAGCACCCGTACTGCCTACACCATCACCTACACCAATAGCACCTACACCAATAGCACCCGTACGAGTACCATCTGAAGTCAAGCCAATAGTCGCACAACTGCAGCTCCTACAGATGATTAATGACCCAGCTGACCACACCTGGTTGCCCCACCAAACCCAAGACAATACTCTCCAGTGGATTCTTATGCTTAATCTAGAGAAAATGGCACTAAGTAGTGAACCAGCAGACATGCCAATTCAATACAACCGAACCCAACCCATTATTATTCCTAGGTCGTGGAAAGAAAGCGAGTACAACAGATGTTTCGAGGGGTTGACTCTCCTACAAAGGATCACAAGCCAGGCGCCCATAGCTGTTCATGGCCTATGCTTGGAGTATGGTCAGGCATCCTTTAAGTTGCTTCTTCTGCTGCTGCGCATCCTAGCCATGCCTCGAGTAGTAGTAAATTTGTGCGGCCAGCTCCAGCCAGACGAAAGCCTTCTGGCCAAGCAGACACTGGCTAGCCAGGCGTACTTGCTCAAGAACCTCCCAGAAGATATAAGTGCCCGAAAGACTCTTTTACAAATGCACACGACAAATACCATCGAGTACTGGAGAGATATTCTCGAATTAGTCATCCAGACGTACAGAGATTTAGAATTAAGAGAAGGTTTTATTGTGTTGGGTTGTGTTGGGTAGATTGATGTGCAGTGAAATGGATTGAGTTAGTATTGGGTTGAGTGAATGACTTGAGTAAATTGACACAAGTTGAGTGAAGATGAAATCTTGTAAGTAAAGCTTGCAGGGGTTCAATCAAACAAATCAAA